GTTGAGGACAGACTTGCGCTCACCTCAATTGACCCTAGTGGCTTGTGATTACCTTGCGTCTGCTACGCGAGCCCAAATCACGTCGCGTCTCCAGAATTACCCCACACGGAAAGCATAACTGGTTTAACGTTGCTTGCCCGTTTCAAGTAGACGATTGCCCGCGTCCACCCTTGTCCATTCCATTATGTTTCGGTCCCGAGTACGGGAGCTTATAGGACATAAGCTACCGAGCTGGGGTCCCGAGTCAAGTTTTATTCACATATAAAAGACATAACTAGCTGCCATAATCAAACCTCAGTCTGCAATAAAATACTTTCCTGCCCTGTACTCACTCTTGCTCTTACATTCTCCACTTGCCTGCCAGTCCAGATCTTGACAACGAGCCTCAGGGTGAGTCTCGTTGGTGCACAGGATGGCCAGGTAGCGGCGAGTGCGACTGACATAGTCAGCAACAGTGCCGGTCATCTTGATTCCGAAGAGGAGAGTTCGGACATGGTCGTAAAATCCGGCCGGGCGGAACTCCGCTCGGAAAAGTTCCTCGAAGCGGAGCCAGGGTGTCGTGTCTGGTGCTTGTAAGCCGTCCCACCAGAGAAGGCCGGTGGGGCCGAGGTACGCAACAGCCGTGACCGTGTGGGCTTCTTCGCTGATGCGAGCACCAACGAAAAAACGGCGAACAGTCGTTAGCCATGCCTCGCAAGCGAAGCCATCCCTCACTCCGTTGGAGGCAGCGGGGGATGGGTACCTGTAGGAGGGTAACAGGACCTGGACAGGGGCAGGGGCGGTGGTGGGGGTAGGTTCGTTCATAGTGAGGGACGAAAAAAGGGACAACAGTTGGTCGATCAGGGTAAAAAATTAACAGAGTATCGTGGTACAGGGAAAACGTGGTTCAGGGACAGAGGGACAGGGGATCGAAAAACCTTTGCTACCATGTAATAGCTTTAGGCAACTGAGGGCAGGGGGTCGAGGTGGACAGGGTGGAATGCGTGCTGTATTTAGGTGGTAACTAGCTGGTCTATTTATCTATGTCTACGGACCGGTTCCGGCCCGGTCGGTGGTCTATAGCCGGGGCCCCAGTCCTTTCGGAGTCGGGGCTATATTCGAGGTTATCCTGTTACACACGACACCTTGGCTCCGCTTCGAGGAACTTTTCCGAGCGGAGTTCCGCCCCGCCGGATTTTACGATCATATCTGAGCTCTCCTCTTCGGAATCAAGATGACCGGCACTGTTGCTGACTACGTCAGTCGCACTCGCCGCTACCTGGCCATCCTGTGCACCAACGAGACTCACCCTGAGGCTCGTACACTACCGAAAATAATGAGTAAATGTTTTTCACTTGCATGGCACATTTGTCAATGGTTTCTGAACCCGTCTTCTGCAGCTCGTAAAATTTATATAATGACATGCCAGTGCAATGGAAAGTAATCTATAGCATTTGAGAGAAGCGGAGGAAATTATTGCGAGTTGTACACAGAATTAGGTTTAAAATGTACCATTTACTCATTATTTCTCCCATGGACATGGTTTTTATTTTTTCTGGCTCAACAACGATAACATGTTTATTCATGGCCTGCTTAGTACCTAGTGTGGCCCCCTTGGCATTCATGACAGCTTCGATCTTTCTGGGCATACTCTCAATCAAGCCTTGGAAGACAGAAGGGGGAATCTTGTTCCATTCCATCTGAAATCTTTCCCATAGTTCGATCATGCCTTTCGGAGGCACCGGGAACTTGCCTAACTGGCGTTTTGCGTAGTCCCAGAGGTACTCGATCGGATTCAGATCCGGAGAGTTAGGCGGCCAGAAAAACAAATTGTACTTGTGCTGCTTGAAGAAATTCATTGCAGTGCCAGAAGTGTGTTTCGAGTCGTTGTCCTGTTGAAAGATCATATCCTTAGGCTTGATCTTGTACCAGCGCTGTGTGAGTGGGAGACATTCCTCCAGGATTTCGACACAGAGACTGGCGTCCATGGTTCCCTCGACCCTAGAAATGAATCCGGCACCGTGCCAAGTCATGCATCCCCATACACTGACTCCGGGAATTGAGTAAATGTTTTCTCGGTTTATCATTGGCGCTCCATAATTTTATAACGGAAGGTACAGTACGCGTGAAAATTGATCTGGATTTCAGTACATTTCGACATTCTCATTCCTTTCGCCATCCCTTTCTCATCAATCCTCAATTAGAGTCTCATCACTCATTCCTCGGATTCGTACCATCATTCTCATCCGCTCACTTTTGAAATAAATCTCGTCATCGTTACTCCTCGCGGATCTGAGATGCACTCATTCGTAAAATCAATTGATTTCCATGCTCCATATGAAAACTTTGGCACCAGATATTGATGTCTTATATTTACTCATTTGCTGCCAAACTATGTAAACACATTCTTATTGATGTTCTAAACGCTGTCTATAAGTACTGTTTCGGTATCTAGCTTTTTAACTATCTTTGGTACATATGCCTGTACATGGATTTCCTGCGTAAAGCGGTGTCTTTGACATCTTCTGGCAGCTATGCTTCCTTTATCGATAATCTGAGAGTATGGTCTCGCGCAAATATCCTCTTTGGACGCGTTATATAAAGGTGAGGTCAGTGCAGATCTTCTGCGAGGCGTAATGTTACAAATTATTTTTGGTACATGGGATTAGTGCGTTCATAGAGGCATACAGACGATTACGCCTCGCAGAAAATCTGCACTGACCTCACCTTTATATAACGCGTCCAAAGAGGATATTTGCGCGAGACCATACTCTCAGATTATCGATAAAGGAAGCATAGCTGCCAGAAGATGTCAAAGACACCGCTTTACGCAGGAAATCCATGTACAGGCATATGTACCAAAAGATAGTTAAAAAGCTAGATACCGAAACAGTACTTATAGACAGCGTTTAGAACATCAATAAGAATGTGTTTACATAGTTTGGCAGCAAATGAGTAAATATAAGACATCAATATCTGGTGCCAAAGTTTTCATATGGAGCATGGAAATCAATTGATTTTACGAATGAGTGCATCTCAGATCCGCGAGGAGTAACGATGACGAGATTTATTTCAAAAGTGAGCGGATGAGAATGATGGTACGAATCCGAGGAATGAGTGATGAGACTCTAATTGAGGATTGATGAGAAAGGGATGGCGAAAGGAATGAGAATGTCGAAATGTACTGAAATCCAGATCAATTTTCACGCGTACTGTATCACAAACGGCGATCTTAAAACGGCCGTTGATGCGCAGAAGCATCTCTCTGAGCAACTGGGCATCAACATCTCTACCAACAGGGTCAGAGAGATCTTCAGGGAGGAGGGACTGACGGCAATGCGAAAGGTCAAGCGCCCCAAACTGACCGCCAATCATCGCAGGGAACGTATGGATTTTGTCCGCATGTATGAGCATTGGACTATCGATGACTGGAAACGGGTTCTATGGACAGATGAAACCAGGATCAACCGATACGGGTCCGATGGGAAGGTCTGGGTTTAGAAGAACACAAAAATCGGCGACCAGGACCGGCTCGTTTACGAGACACTCAAGTACGGAGGAGGTCATCTTTTTATGTGGGGTTGCATGACGTATGACGGGGCAGGCTTCATCTCTCAAATCCATGGGACAATGGATGCTGAGTTGTATGTCGAGATCCTTGAGGAGTGTGTTGCATTGACGCAAGAGTGGTATGGGATCCGGCCACAGGGTATGATTTTCCAGCAGGATAATGACTCCAAGCATACCGCGGAAGTATCAAGGAGATTTTTCGAGAAAAAGAACTACAACTTGCTCTTTTGGCCCGCACGCTCTCCAGATATGAATCCGATAGAGCACCTCTGGGAGCATCTCGAGAGGCAACTAGCCAAGAATCCTAAGCCTCCTGAGGGAATGATCGAATTGTGGGAACGATTTGCAAATAGTCAGGAGTCGGAGGGGTTCTAGGGTGGAATCAGAGGTTTATTCGATGATTGATTGCTGTCTAATCCTACGTTTGAAGGGCTCTTATATACTAGACACAGTTGTGTTGGAATGCTCTAGAAACTAGGCGCAGCATGGTTATGACCATGACATCATTCTCGAATAAACAGTTGTACCTGTTGCATTTATTAACTGAAATATATGGTGGTTTTTGAAGTCAGTGAGAAAGAGATGTGTCTCCAAACACACATCTACACGATATTTATTAATCAACTCTAGATTAAGTTTCAGAGGTGATAGATTTATATAGTAATATAGTACACTGGACTCAGCTGAATATGCTAGGCTCGGTGCCAGCCCATACGACAAAAAGAGCATCCCCTAAGTGCATGCCCACAAAATTTGTTGCCTTTTTAAGGCATACGCCAATTTTTTTTTCTGTTGGGCTGGTATCAAACTCGAGGGTCTCTTAAGGTCCAAAATTGCGCACAAACCCCGTGTAAAAAAAGATGCTGTGAGATGTTCTCACACTCCTCTTTTTTTTTTTCTTCATCTCACTGCTACCCTGCTCCTGCTCCCAATTCCTGCCTACCCAGCTCCCAGCTCCCAGCTCCCTCCAACACTGCTCCTAGCATCTTTCTGCCTGCTCCCAGCCAGCTATTACTAAATAAAAAATGAGTTCCAACGGTAGGGCAATTGCTGGTGACCTGTCCCTGACTTTTTAAAAAAAAAAAAAAATAGACAGGTCCTAATATGCTCCGCTGACTGCAGCCGCCACAGATACATCCAGAAGCGCATCCACTTCCCGTTCTGCAAGCGAGGAACCGCCAATTCTTCCACATAATGTAGCTGAGATTTGCGAACACCACTTCGGGGTGCGTCCGAAGGAGATGCAGCTGTCAGTGGTCGAAATGATTGGAAGGCGCAAAGACTGTATTTTGATTGCAGGCTGTGGATGGGGGAAAACCCTCGTCTATTTTCTGCCTCTTGTTCTCTGGGAAGGCGTCATTGTTGTTCTATCGTCACTCAAAGCATTGGCGGAGGAGCAGCATCAGAAACTCACCACGGCTCGCATCAGCAGCATTGCACTCAATGGCGAAATGCATATATCGAAGGAGGTCATTGAGGACATTGCTCGGGCGAAATATCGCATCGTCTTCATGACGCCCGAAATGATCTTCACTAGCGAGCGCTTCAAACGGCTCTGGAGCACGGAAAGCTGGAGGAGGAACTTGATGGCGATCGTGCTAGATGAAGCCCACTGCGTCGAGACTTGGGGTACAACATTTCGGAGGACCTACGGCGAGATTGGAACGTTACGGAGCAAACTCCCTCCCTCAGTGCCATTTATTTCTTTATCAGCTACCTTGCCTCTCCATGTCCTCGGTTTCGTCAAAAGCTCGCTTCACTATGCTGCCGATGTCCCGGTCTTCAATGTTGGGAACGATCGCCCCAATATCAAGTACAAGGTCTCTCGACTCAAGCACCCTGCCAACTCATTCAAGGATCTCGACTTTG